TGGCGAAAAAACACAACAAAAAAAGAGAATTTTAGACTAATATCCCTGATGAACATCGATGCAAAATCCTCAGTAAAAATACTGGCAAACCAGAATCCAGCAAGCACGAATCAAAAAGCTTATCCACCACAATCCAGTTGGCTTCATCCCTGGGATGCAAGCTGGTTTCAACATATGCAAACAATAAACGTAATCCATCATATAAAACAGAAAAACAAAGACAAACCACATTGTGTATCCAATAGATGCAGAAAAAGCCTTGGGCAAAATTCAACAGCCTTCATGCTAAAACTCCTCGAGTAAACTAGGTATTGATGGCAAAACATATCCAAAATTATAAAAGCCTATTATGACAAACCATAGCCATATCGATGGCTGAACGGGCAAAACTGAAGCAACTCCCTTTGAAAACTGGCACAAGACCAGGGATGCCAATCTCTCGACCACTCCTCATTCAACCATAGTGTTGGAATTCTGGCAGGGCAATCAGGCCAAGGGAGACAAGGGAAATATAGGGCATTCAGTTAGAAAGAAGGAAGTCAAAGTTTCCCTGTTGCAGATGACATATTGATGAATATTAGACAAACCCTATCTTGCAGGGCCCAAGATCTCCTTAATTGTGCTGATAAGCACGACTTCCCAGCAAAAGCTCAAGGATATTAAAATCACTGGCAAAAATAACACAAGCATTCCGTATACCCAAATAACAGGACACAACAGAGAGCCAAAGTCATGAGTGAACTCCCATTTACAAATTGCTATCAAAGAGAGAAAAATACCGTAGGGAATCCACTTACAAGGGGATGGAAAGGACCTCTTCAAGGAGGAACTACAAACCGACAAGCTCAACGAAATAAAAAGGAGCCAACAAACAAATGGAAGAAACTCTCCATGCTCATGGATGGAAGAATCAATACTTTGAAGTGGCCCATACTTCCAAGGTAAATTATAGATGCAATGCCCATCTCCATCAAGCTTACACATGACTTCTTCTTACAGACGTTGGAAAAAACTACTCTTAAAGTTCCATATGGAACCAAAAAAGAGGCCACTGCCAAACAATCCTAAGCCAAAAGAACAAGCTGGAGGCCATCGCGCGTACCTGACTTTCAAACTATACTAACAAGGCTACAGTAACCAAACACCAGCTGGTACTGCTACCAAAACCAGAGATATAGACTAATGAACAGAACGCAGAAGCCCCTCATAAATAAATAAACAATACCACCACCATCTAACCAACCATTCCTGCATACTTTGAACAAACACTGACAAAAACAAGAAATGGGGAAAGGATTCCCTATTTAATAAATGGTGCTGGGAAAACTGGCTAACCATATGTAGACAGCTGAAACTGGATCCCGTCCTTACACCTTATACAAAAATTAATTCAAGATGGATTAAAGACTTAAATGTTAGACCCCAAACTATAAAAAATCCTAGAAGAAAACCTAGGCAATACCATTCAGGACATAGGCATGGGCAAGGACTTCATGACTAAAACACCAAAAGCAATGGCAGCAAAAGCTAAAACAGACAAATGGGATCTAATTAAACTAAAGAGCTTCTGCACAGCAAAAGAAACTACCATCAGAGTGAACACGAAACTTACAGGATGGGAGAATATTTTTGCAATCTACCCATCTGACAAAGGGCTAATATCCAGAATCTACAAAGAACTTAAACAAATTTACAAGAAAAAAATCAAACAACCCCATCAAGAAGTGGGTAAAGGATACGAACAGACACTTCTCAAAAGAAGACATTTATGCAGCCAACAGACACATGAAAAAATGCTCATCATCATTGGCCATCAGAGAAATGCACATCAAAACCACAATGAGATACCATTTCACACCCGTTAGAATGGTGATCATTAAAAACTCAGGAAACAACAGGTGCTGGAGAGGATGTGGAGAAATATGAATACTTTTACACAGTTAGTGGGACTGTAAACTAGTTCAACCATTGTAGAAGGCAATGTGGCGATTCCTCAAAGTTCTAAAACTCGAAATACCATTTGACCCAGCGATCCCATTATTGGGTATATACCTAAAGGATGATAAATCATGCTACTATAAAGACACATGTACACATATGTTTATTGTGGCACTATTCACAATAGCAGACTTGGAACCAACCCAGTGTCCATCAATGATAGACTGGATTAAGAAAATGTGGCACATATATACCATGGAATACTATGCAGCCATAAAAAGGATGGGCTCATGTCCTTTGTAGGGACATGGATGCAGCTGGAAACCATCATTCTGAGCAACTATCGCAAGGACAGAAAACCAAACACCACATGTTCTCACTCATAGGTGGGAACTGAACAATGAGAACAGTTGGACACAGGGTAGGGAACATCACACACTGGGGCCTGTCATGGGGTGGGGAAGGGGGTAGGGAGAGCATTAGGAGAAATACCTAATGTAAATGACAAGTTAATAGGTGCAGCACACCAACATGGCACATGTATACATATGTAACAAACCTGCACATTGTGCACATGTACCCTAGAAGTTAAAGTATAATAATAATATAAAAAGTTTCTGGCTCCAAAGAATAGACTCTTAAGTACAACCACATATTGCATCTAAAAACTTATTGGATAAGTATGAGTTTTATGAGATCAATGCTAGAGAGTTAATGCTTCCTAAATGAGTATAAGCTGGTTCTATATGTAGAAGGCATGGCTACACAGACAAAAGATCAAGAGGTAGACAATGCCTTATCAAAACTACAAGCTAACTTTGAATCAGTTTCCTTTATGATTGAATTGTAGCAACTAAATTCTACTCTATCAGCCTACCAAGGGAAAGGGTGAACCCTCTCTGGATGAAGATAATATCATTTGAAGTTCTATAATATTTTATACAATGTGTCTGGAAATCAACAAAATATTAGCTGTCCATTAACCTCTGTTCAACCTTTTATGCTATTATTGTTATGCATATTAATTCTATAAATATTATAATGCCCTAAGACATTATTATAATTGGTTTTTATGGTCAATATTCATTTAGATTTACCAGATAGTTATCACTTACAATGTTCTTTACAAATGGAGTTTTTTGACCAAAATGAAAATAATTCTAGTTAAAAGCATGAAAATAAAAAAATACTGTAGGTTTGCCTTTTTAAAAATGTAGCACAATCACAGTTATTTGCAAAAATATTTTAGGTTCCAATCAGTTTTTCTCTGGACTTTTCCTTATGCTTTGTTAGTTAAGCAGTATTTTAAAAAGTTACTTCTTATATCATCATTCTTGTCAATTTTCTCTTTAATTTTCGTTAATGTAATTCTTACTGATCCTCATTTATTAATGGCTTTGCATATTAACAGTGTAATTTTATAACATGACTATCATTATCTAGAGAAAATCCTGCATATTCAAGAAGGTGTAAATGTCACTCTACAACAATTTGCCATGCATTTTTGCGTTTTCACAATTAGTCCATGGAAGACATTGACCTGCTGGGTTTGGGAGAGGCACAGGTTCTAAGAAATTGAGATGTTTGAGTGACTTATTTCACCAATGAGTTTTTAAATTAATAATGACTTTTCTTCCCTACTTAACCTCTTTTCAGAGGGGGATGGAATAATCTGGTTTGCAATAAGAACCTTTCAGGCAGAAGTGGCAGTCTATAAAAAGAAGGGCAAGAAATTAGATTAATTAATTTCCAGGAATAAGGTTGTTTGGGAGGTCCATGGTGGGAATTGAAAGGGAGGAGGAACTAGATATAAAACTACTGAGACACGCAGGGATTATCATAAAGGGAGTTGAGAATTGATTCCTGAAAGGGTTATGCAGCTTTTGGAAAATTTGGAAAGAAAAAAGTTTCATATTTGGATTGTAGAGATGTTCTTCTGGCAACTGTATGAAAAGCCTGGAGTGAGTCGAAGTCCTAATGAGAGAAAAAGAGATGACTAGGATGCTGATGTTACAGTACGTCTGTATCAGTGTGCCAGGGCTGTCACAACAAAGTATCACAGATCAGGTGACTTAAACAATACAAATTTATTTTCTCACAATTCAGGAAGCTAAAAATCTGAGACCAAGGTGTCAGTAGGGTTGGTTTCTTCTCAGTCTTCTCTGACCTGTAGATGGTCATGATCTCCCTGGAGCTTAACGTGGTCTTCTTGTTCTGGGTCATAATTATTTGCAGAATAATTTTTGTCCTAATCTCTTCTTTTAAGAACAGTAGTCCGATTGAATTTGTATCTGTCCTAACAACTTCATTTAAACTTAATCACCTTTCAAGACTCTGTCTCCAAATGCAGTCACATTTTGAGGCACTGGAGGTTCTGACACACAACACACAATTTTTAGGGAGTGGGGCACAAAATTCATTCCATAGCAATGGACAAGGAAAGATGATGGCTGAACTGGAAGACTAGAGGCAGAGATGAAGAGCAGGTGCTATAGAAGCAGACTTGGAAAGTCTCTGTGGGTAACATGATGTATGTGTATGGGGAAGCAAGGAGGAACAGAAGGTGTATTTTATGGTTTGAGTGCCCAGATTGAGGTATACATTTCCTATTTCTCAGTCTCTCTCTTCATCCTCCATGCCTTTGCTCTCTAAGGTGGCGTCTTCTGCAATCATAGGTAGAGAGTGCATAATTCTCACCATAATGTAAAGAATGAGGAAGGCCTTAAAGGTTGAAAGGTATACGGAGTTTATAGTCCGGACCAATGCTTCCATTTTGAAGATGCCTCATAGTATTCTAGTCGGGGGAAATGAGAGAACTGACAGGAAGTACTTTGAGAACTGGGCTGCCATTATTGTGATGATTGCTGTACCTTGCCTTTGGACTGTATCCTCCAGATAATTGTGTCAACAGAAGGTAGGGATACTTTTCAACTTCAGATGTGATTGGCTGCAACTCTCTGCAAAGCCAGAGCCATTTCTCCCTCAAGTGCAACCCAGGATAACCTTTATTTGAACCTGGATGAACCTGCTAGGACTGGGTTCATGACACATTTTGGCCACAAGAGGGCACACAAAGCTCTTTCTTCACCACACCTTCCCTATTAAAGAGGTCGGTTCTGTGTGGGAAGAAGAGTAAAGTGAAACTTCGTAACGCAGCAATCTCGTTCCACTTGAAGAAAGCACAGTGCCTGAACCCAGGCATTGCAGGTTCAAAGTCCTGTTACTGAACTAGCTATCTATGCCATTTAGGGCAAGTCACTTAAACTCCCCGTGACTTAGTTTCCTCTTCTGGCAAAGGAGCACACTAGTTCCTGTCTCCTGGAGCTGTTGTTGGGACAAAATGAAGTAAAGTGCTTAGGACAAGACCTTGCACATAATAAGTTCTCACTAAATGTTGCGCCTTTTATTTTCCACTTCCATTTGCTTGGGGGCAGGAGTAGTTGCCTCCTGGTCAGAGGGCATGACAATCTTTGGACAGCCAAAGGTGCTTAGGAACTTGGGGTAAGGGATAAGTTCCAAGAGTAAGACCATACGGCAGAGCCTTGAGCTAAATTTTGAACTTAAGACAGAAAAGGACAATTTCTGGATTACACTGTTTTATTGCAACTCTCCAGGGTGAGACATCAGATAAGAATCTGTAGCTAAGGTCCAGTTTACGTTAACCTGGTAAACTTCTACATTCAGGGACCCGGGCAGAGGTTCGGGAATTCAAGATCTAGATCCTGTAAAATTTTCTTACCATGAAAACCACTATTATCAGTCATATCCAGCGATGGCTTAGAGCGTTGTTGGGCTACAGTAGACTAGAGAGAGATATTGATAGCAGGAATGAGTGTTTTTTTCTGATGGGACCTGTGAAGACTTAACAGAGATCTAGGGCAATGCAGGTGCCCCCACTAGCCATTTCACTGACTCATTATAATGACTATTAAAATTCTGAATTCAGAAGTCGCAACTAGATATATAGCTCGCTTGTCTCTTTTTGGTCATGAATGTGTGATACTTTATCCTTTTCTTTAGGGACACAGCAAATATATTTTCCCCCACATTTTTCTTTCTTCTTCTCAATTTCTTTGCATGATTTCCTGCATCTGCCAATTCCATAACAGCACCTTCTGATCCATCCATCTATCAAAATAAGCAAATACATGAATATATAAATACATTTAAAAAATAAATACTATTAAACTAAGGATGTTGGTAATAGTAATAATGGTTAGAGTGAAACATTGATTTTGACACCTAATGACATTCATGGGAATGTTATAAATTTGTGCATGTTTAATGACTACTGCTGGTCTTGACATGCAGTAGATAGGAGTAGTTATCTTCCTTCCTCTAACCAGCTCTAATTGAATTTTATTCCTATGCTTATGATACTTTCATCTCTGTCATTTTTCACGGTCTCACTAAATCTGGTTCTACTTCCTCTCTAAATCTAGCTGCTTGCTAGGGAGTGGGACTAAGCCTTCAATTATCTGTTTTTTCTCTCTCCATTCTTTATTCATCTAACCACAATTTGTTGAGCATCTACTATGTGCCAGACATTGTTTGTTCTAGGGGCGCTTGCCCCAGGGGTTGTTTAAAGCAAGACCCTGAACAATGGATGATCAATTTACATTCTGAGCTGTGGCTGATGTTGTGTGTGTGTGTTGGGGGAGGGGGAGGCGGGTGCAGGGAGGGTTTAACACTGTGCCCTTCTCTGATTTATTTTCTGTGACTCTAAGTCAGGGCAGACTGCAAACCCAGCTTTCCCAGCACATTGGATTCAGTTGAGAGATCATTATATCTTAGTCTAAACTACAGATTCTTTCCACTTGTCTTTTCCCCAAACTCTTCTTCTGGGAGATAATTCCTAATTCTCTCTCTTTTACCAGAAGGTTCAGACAGAAAAAAATCAGTCACATTGACTCTCACTTTTCTCTTCCAGTATTTCATAAGTCAATATGTAGATTCTTTCTCCAAAATGTCTTGCATCTGCAACTCCCTCTATTCTACTTGCCCTCACTGGAATATAAGGCATGCTCAAACCAACTCAGGGTTAGCCCAGAATAACCTTCTTTTACTTCTAGAACAACTGAGTGATTGGCAAAGGCTTTCAGCTTGAATAGCTGCTCCAAGAAAGGATGTGACTTCCAACAGCAAAGACCCAAAGGAAATCACAGAATTAAAAATCATCAACTTTAGAGCCCCTGGGAAGCCTACGGGGAAAACATTTCCATTAGAAAGTTATTCACCACCTGGCCAAGACGCCTGTTTATACTGTTAGAGAGCTTTGAGCATGTTCAACTTGAAAGCCAAAATCTGCTCTAACCCCAGCTCCACACTGTGAACCTATTTTTATAAACCTGTAGATATCCAACATCAACTTAACAACTTTTTCACCATATATCCCAAGACAAGAGCAAGTTGCCTCCTCTGCCTGCTTTAAAGGAGCACTCAAAGCCCAACAACAGTGGAGAAGTGAAGTAATGAGACTGATTATTACAAGAGGTAGTATCAACTGAAAGTGGGGTTGAAGTGAGAGACTCACAGGATGAGACTGTTGACATATGGGCCAGAGGCATTCAGGATACTAGAGATGTTGGGGTTGCTTCTGCATATGGAAGGGGCGTCATATAAAACACCTTGGCCTCTGCAGATATTCTCCAGGTTCCCTAATGAGAAGCACCATCATGATCAGGGCTGACAGGCTGCCCTTCTTATGGGAGAAAATTCATTATAAGCCCTTCATCAGATCTCCGCCATCCCCATGGGCTCTCCTCGCTTCCACACATGTTTTCCAATGATTCTGTGGTTAGGATCCCATCCTCACTCCCTTTTCCCTCCTCTCCATAGTTCTGTTTACCTGGGGCAGTCTGAGCCAGGACCACAAGGACATCTAAGGCCAGGACAAAGAGTTTAATGTCTACTGAGAGGGGTGAGAAATGATCTGGCAGCATTCTGAATGTGCTGGGGAAGCTGGGTGTGCACTCAGCATTTTATTGACCTAGGTAAGGCTGAATCACAGACAATAAGTTAGAGAAGGGCAGAATGTTACACCACCCAGAACATCAGCCTGCCACTCAGCAGTATAAACCGATCATCCCGTGTTCAGGGTCCTGCTCTAGATATCCTTGGGGATGGTGAAAGGCACTAGCAGAGGAGGTACAAGTCCTCCACAAGGCTCTTGCACTGGGCAGAGAACAGATCCCTTCTCCAAGAAGCCTTTCCTGTCCCTCTCCTTCATAGTTTATCCCCCTTCCCTACATTCTCACAGCTGTTGTTTTCTTTTCCTCTGTTTGTTTATCATGACACACTGGAACTAAGTGTTTTTCTAGTTCCTCCTCCCTTTCAGAATGATGCCCTAAGGGAAACTTTTAATAGACAGTGAGACCCCTGAGGTTAGGAACAGGCTGTCATTTTGTTACACCCAGAGTATGCAGTGAACGTGTGTTGAAAAGCATTGAGTGAGTGAATGTACATATGGCATATACTTGTATCCAGGTAGCTCTTAGAATTGGCATTTCCTAGCTAAGAAAATGCAGGCTGAGAGTGGAAAGGAATTGTCTAGGGTCCCACCATAAGCAAGAAAGAAACAGCCTGGGGTGGAAGCCCTCATAACCCAACTCGTTGTCCAGCTCTTCACTTTGAATTTTTATCCTATTTTCCTACTCCAAATCCTTCGTATCAACCGTTTCTGGGTCTTTCTTGGACTCCAGCCTCAAACAACAAAGCAAAAAATATTTCTTGCAGTTTTTCTAACAAAAAGAAGAGGGCACTGCCCAGGCTCCATTAGAAGGGCTGCCTGTGGGTCCACTAGATCTTCCTTTTTGGGTTCCTGGTCCTTTTCCACCTTTGGGTGAGTCCAGTGCGCATCGGTTCTACTCTCTTTTTTCTACATGCAGGCAGCGGAGATGACCTGATGTGGTTCAGGAAATTTGTTTTGCTGTTAGGATTTGGGCAGAACTTTCTTCAGGAAAGCAATGAACATCAGTGTCATCCATTGAACTTCCACTGTCAGGCAGCAACTGTGCTAAGCACTTTATATATATGACCCCCTGGAATCCTCACAGGAGCCCTGATAGGCAGGCGTGATGTGCTCAGGGTTACACAGTGCCTATGAGTGAGGTCTGGATTCAGATCTGTGTTACCTGTCCCCAGAGAACATGTTCCTTCTGTCATCCCAGGGGATTATGCCTGAGCAATGATGGAAGGGGAGGTCTGTTTAACTTGAAAAGCAGTAAACAGCTGGAGAGAGTCATAGTTGCTGCCTTCAAGTATCTGAAAGGCATGTTCTGTGTAGGCCCACAGCCCAGAACTAATAGGCCTGAGTGGAGACTGCAGGCACACAAGTTGAAGCTCATCAGAAAGACCTCTGAAGACGGGCACCATCTGGGAAAATGGTTAGACTGCCTGGAGGAGCTGGTGGCTCCTGCTGTTCTAAAGTTGCAAACTGAGGCAACATGACCACTCCCCTCAGATTCTGCAGGGAGGGTGGCTGAATTGGCTGCGTGTGGGTCTGTGCACTGGCACAATTCTAGGCACTGAGCTTAAGAGAAGAAAGCAAAGTCCGGCCATTCTAATTAGGGAGAGGGACAAGAAACATATAATGTCAGTTCGTGGTAAGTGCTATAAAGAAAAACAGGGAAAGGAGAATAGAGAATAATATACTTGTGTGCGTGTGTGTATGAGAATATGTGTGTGTGAGTGTGTGTGTGAAAGGCACATAGGATTGAGTGTAGAGTAAGAGGAACAGAGAATAATGATACACGTGTGTGTGTGTGTGTGTGTATAAGGCACATAGGATTGAGTGCAGTGTAAGGGGAATAGATAATGTTATATACATGTATGTGTGAGTGTGTGTGTGACACACAGGATTGAGTGTAGAGTAAGGGGAATAGAGAATAATATGATATGTGTGTGTGTGTGTGTGTGTGTGTAAGGCACACAGGATTGAGTGCAGAGAAAGGGGAATAGAGAGTAATATAATATACATGTGTATGTGTGAGAGAGTGTGTGTGTGTGTGTGTGTGTATGTAAGGCACACAGGATTGAGTGCAGAGAAAGGGGAATAGAGAGTAATATAATATACATGTGTATGTGTGAGAGTGTGTGTGTGTGTGTGTGTGTGTAAGGCACACAGGATTCAGTGCAGAGAAAGGGGAATAGAGAATAATATACATGTGTATGTGTGAGAGTGTGTGTGTGTGTGTGTATGTAAGGCACACAGGATTGAGTGCAGAGAAAGGGGAATAGAGAGTAATATAATATACATGTGTATGTGTGAGAGAGAGTGTGTGTGTGTGTGTATATAAGGCACACAGGATTGAGTGCAGAGAAAGGGGAATAGAGAATGTGTGAGAGAGAGTGTGTGTGTGTGTGTATATAAGGCACACAGGATTGAGTGCAGAGAAAGGGGAATAGAGAATAATATAATATACATGTGTATGTGTGAGAGAGAGTGTGTGTGTGTGTGTATATAAGGCACACAGGATTGAGTACAGAGAAAGGGGAATAGAGAGTAATATAATACACGTGTATGTGTGAGAGTGTGTGTGTGTGTGTGTAAGGCACACAGGATTGAGTGCACAGTAAGGGGAATAGAGAAAAATATGATATACGCGTGTGTGGCTATTTTGAGGAGGAGAGTCAAGTACGGACTCATTGAGGAAGTGGCACAGAGCAGAACCTGAATGTACTAGGAATTGAACCACATAGATATGTAGAATCTTCCAGGCAGAAAGAACAGCAAGAGCAAAGCCCCTGAGGCAAAAAAGTGTTTGGTATGCTAGGAAGAGCAAGAAGTCAAGTGTGGTTGGAGTAGTGGGAGCAAGAGAATGGATAAAAGAAGCTGAAATCATAGAGGCAGGCATAGCTACATCCTATCAGATCCAATAGGGCCTCGTTAAGGACTTTGGAATTTATTTAAAATGTGATGAGAAATTGTGGTTTACATTTTAAGTGATCTTTCAAATCTGAAAGTTTATTTCTGTATATGAGACATCATGTTCTCTATCTAAAAAGTAAAGTATTTGGGCTAAACTAATGTTTCCTGAAATATGTGGTCCATACCATTGATAGTATGTGTGATCATTTAGGCAACACAAAAAAGTATATGTTTTTGATGGTTATTTACTTTAATGCTCATTTGAGAAAAAATTCACTAGTCCTTGATGTCGTGGTTTTATATATAACATCACTCAGGATTTGGGCTTGGTATGGATTTAAGTAAATGGACTGTGTTGATCTCTATCAGGAATATATATATATATAATATATTCCATATATATATATATGTTTTTTTTCTTTTTTTTAACGAGACAGAGTCTTGCTCTGTCGCCCAGGTTGGAGTGCAGTGGGCAATCTGGGCTCACTGCAACCTCTGCCTCCGGGTTTAAGCAATTCTCCTGCCTCAGCCTCCCAAGTAGCTGGGATTATAGTCATGTGCCACCACACCTGGCTAATTTTTGTATTTTTAGTAGAGATGGGGTTTCACCATGTTGGTTAGGCTGGTCTCGAACTCCTGACCTCATGTGATCCTCCCGTCTTGGCTTCCTAAAGTGCTGGGATTACAGGTGTGAGTCATCGTGCCTGGCCTCTATAAGAAATATTAAGTAGGCCGGGCGCGGTGGCTCAAGCCTGTAATCCCAGCACTTTGGGAGGCCGAGATGAGCGGATCACGAGGTCAGGAGATCCAGACCATCCTGGCTAACACGGTGAAACCCTGTCTCTACTAAAAAATACAAAAAACTAGCCGGGCAAGGTGGCAGGCGCCTGTAGTCCCAGCTACTTGGTAGGCTGAGGCAGGAGAATGGAGTAAACCCGGGAGGCGGAGCTTGCAGTGAGCTGAGATCTGGCCACTGCACTCAGCCTGGGCAACAGAGCGAGACTCTGTCTCAAAAAAAAAAAAAAAAAATTAAGTATGCAATATAACAGGCTATAGAGGATATGGCAAAAAATGTTTATTAGGCAGTATACAAATAGCTAATGTTAGTAGCTAGAAAATTGATAAGGACCATTCTATGAAATAGAAAACTGAAACTCAGAAAGGTTAACTGACTTTCTTAAGGGCACACAGCTGGTAAGCCATGGGGAGCAGAAACTGGGTCTTGGTTCATCTGACTCCAAATCCATTGCTCCTTGCATCAGGGAACACTGTCTCACCAAACACATAAGTCTCTGACTTTATGTCTTTCTTTGATTATTTATTAACTTTTTATTTTGAAATATAAATTAACAAGAAATTGCAGAGATAGTAAAGAAATCCTGTGTGCCTTTTACCTAGTTTCCCCTAACTGTTACATTTTGCATAACTGTAGTACAATATCAAAACCAGTAAACTGACATTGGCACAATGTTTTTGTATAGTTCTGTCATTTGATCACACGTATAGATTAGCAATCAATATGCAAAACTCTTCAGTCACTGCAAAGATTTCCCTTGTGCTACTGCCTTATAGTCACACTCAACCCCCTACACCCTCCATCCCTAAACTCTGGAGACTACCAATTTGTTCTCCATCTCTATACTCTTGTCTTTTTTTTTTTTTTTTTTTTAGATGGAGTCACACTCTGTCACCCAGGCTGGAGTGCTACCTCGGCTGACTCCAACCTCCGTCTCCTGGGTTCAAGCGATTCTCCTGCCTCAGCCTTCCAAGTAGCTTGGATTACAAGTGTGCACCACTATGCCTGGCTAATTTTTGTATTTTTAGTAGACATGGGGTTTCACAATGTTGCCCAGGCTGGTCTCAGACTCCTGACCTCAGATGATCTGCCTGCCTTGGCCTCCCAAAGTGCTGGGATTACAGGCATGAGCCACCATGCCTGGCCTACTTTTGTCATTTTAAGAAGGTTATATAAATGGAATTATATAGTATATAGCCTTTTGGGATTGTATCTACCAATAGTTTGTTCATTTCATTGCTGAGTAGTGTTTCATGGTGTGGCTGTACCACAGTTTA